CGCCCCGCGCCGCCGCCTAGGGCCCTGGGGAAAAGATCTTCCGTGAGCGCCCAATCCGGCGCCGGAGTAAAGTCGCACCCTAGTGGGCGACAGTTCGGCCCAGGTTGAGTCGCTGGCATGCCGCGGGGCCCGTACATAATCAATTATTTTCGGGTGTTCGCCTGCTTGCCGGCGAACGCCCGGCGGCAACGGGCGCTGGCGAGGCGTCAATGCAAGAAAGGAGGAAGACGGAGGAGGAGGAGGAAGACGGAGGAGGAGGAGGAGGAGGAGGAGGACGACGAGGACGACGAGGACGACGAGGACGACGAGGACGAGGACGAGGACGAGGACGAGGAGGACGAGGACGAGGACGAGGAGGAGGAGGAGGAGGAGGAGGAGGAGGACGAAGAGGAAGAGGAGGAGGAGGAGGAGGAGGAGGAGGAGGAGGACGAGGAGGACGAGGAGAAGGACGAGGAAGAAAGGTTCCGCCGGCAGCAGCAGCGCTGGATGCAGGCTCACCACCACCCAGTCCAGGCGCTGAGCGACATGCGGCAGCAGGCGCAGCCCGACTGCATGTGCCCTTCGGCTGAAGTGGAGGAACAGTTGCAAGAAGCAGGAGGAGGAGGAGGAGGAGGAGGAGCAGCAGCAGGCGGCACAGGGCCGACAGGGTCGTGTCCAGGCACCGAGGGCGAGGAAGGGAGGCAGGACTGGAGGGCGCATTGCAGCATCACTGAAGCGTGTTGGATGTATTGCTGCCTCCTCACAACCACCACGATCAGTTTTCATTTGCGGACAGAGTCTACGACGTCCTCCTCTGAGGCCGGGGGCTCGTGCCTCGTGGGGGGCCTCCTGGGTGCCTCTTGGTGCGGGGATGGCACGGCTTCTCGGTTCGTGTTTTTCCTCCTGGGCCCCTTCTTGGGGGCTGTCTTGGGGCCCTCTTGGGCCATTTTAGAGGCTTTCTTGGGCAGTTTGGGGGCTCTCCTGGGGGCCTCTGGTGCCGTCTTGGGGCGGTTTGGGGGGGCCTCTTGGGCCGTCTTGGAGCGTCGGAAGCTCGAAAAGTAGAGAACCCCAAACGCATTGAAAACCCGATGGGAAATCTATATGTTTGGCCGCTTGGGGTCCTCTTGGGAAGGCCCTCAGAGGCTTCTTGGGGCGTCTGGATGGCTTCTTGGGTCATCTTGGCCCACCTTGAGCGTCGTAGGCCGATCGTGTCGCGATTCGGGGCGCCCTTGGACAGTATGGGCGGCCTCTTGGGAGTTTCAGCTGGACCGTCTTGGGGCTCTCTTGGCTCCGGGCGAGCCTAGAAGGCACGCGACACCCCCTTTTGGAGATTTGTGCATTTGATTGAATTTGGGGTCTGGGCCCCAGAAGGATTCTCAGTATTGAGGACCGAGACTGAAGGAGTGAAGCAAAGAACCCGAGGGCATTCCAACTCGTGCCTCAAGGGCACGGTGGCGGATTTCATGCGCATCGCCCAGGTTTTCGGCGAGGCTGGCTCCCCAGCGAAAGCGTCTAGCTAGTGCCCGCCCGTGGGCTATGTCCACCCTGCTTGCTTCCGCCGCCCGCCCGGGCACCCCTGGGCGTGCTCCCGGGAATTTCCCAGATCCAGGATTTCCCAGGAATTCGGTGTCGGTTCTCCGCTGGCCAACGCTTGTATGAGGGCGGATGTCCAGAGAAGGTGCTCCTGGATCTGAAGCATGCCTCTGTGCCGACTTGCCGGAGGTGCCCGACCGAGCCAGCGCGCCGCGGTGGGGCACAGGCGGCAGCGCCGTGCGCTCGCGGCTCGCAGGTCCGAAGCAGGAGGCCCGTGCCCCCGATGCTGTGCTGACGTGCTGGGGCGGTTCGCGCTCCATCTCGAAGAAGAAGAAGAAGAAGATCGAGAGGAGAAAAAAGCACACAGACACAATGAATCGTCGATTCCCCAGAAAATGCGGGAAAATTTGGGCAGTGGGGGGGAAGACAGAAACCCAGAAAATATGGGAAAAGATGGGGAATCCTTTTATTTGTGTGTAATTATTTGTGTTTCCAGTGCCCGTTCAGAAGAAAGCACACAAACATAAACTGTTGGCGCTCCGCGCGGATTTCTTGGATCTGCGCTGGGCCCCCCCAGCGGCGCCTCAGGCGCCGCCCCTGGCGCGCTCCGCGCGCCAGGGAGGGGGTCCAGCGCGGATCCAAGAAATCCGCGCGGAGCGCCAACAGTTTATGTTAATGTGTTTCTTTATTATATTGTTACTATCTGGCCGCCTTCGTCTTGGTCCCTTCCCCTTGCACGCAGGACAATTCGCCTTTCGGTTGCCCCGAATAGCCACACGCTGGAGCGGACCGCCTCTCTTTTGCCGCCGACGCAAAGTGTATTACTCTGGCGCGCAACGGTCGCTGCCCAGGGCCAACCCCGCCCCCCAGGTGACGGCAACGATCGTGGGTAGGGGGAGTGTTTGGGACCCCCCCCCGCATGTTGGTGCTCGTGCGCGTATTTTGGCGATCGCAGCGTACCCCCGCCCCGACGTGCCCCACCCCGCCCAAGCGCTACTGATGCCGAGGGCCCCAACTCCCCCCGCTGTAACGACCGTCGCCGGAAATGTTTACCCCGTTCGAGGGTCGATCACTTTGCTCCTCCCGCTCCTCCTGCTGAGGTACGCGGGCTGGCTGCAAAAGCGGGGGCCAATGGCTGGCTACGCCTGGGTGCGCCGCTATTGCCGCCTGCAGAGAGGCCTCTTGGAATATTTCGAGGACGGCTCTTGCGAGGTCTTGAGGAGGAAGAGGAGAAGGAAGAAGAGGAGAAAGAGGAGGAAGAGGAGGCAGAGAAGAAAATGAAGGATCAGGAAGAGAAGGGAAGGACCAGAGAGAGGAGGAGGAAGAGAAGAGGCTGAGAACGACTAGGAAGAGGAGGAGGAGGAGGAGGAGGAGGAGGAGGAGGGACAAAAGGAGGCTGAGTGGGGGGAATGGAGGAGAGTGAAGAGGAGGAAAAGGGGAGGAGGTGGAAATAGAGGAGAAGGAACAACAGCAAAAGCAAAAAGAAAGGATGGGGAAGGGGGACGAGCGGGAGGAGCGGGAAGAGACGAGGAAGAGGAGGAGGAGGAGGCGGAGGAAGAGGAGGAGGATAGACGAGGAAGAGTAAGGAGGAGGAGAGAGGAGAAAGGGGAAGGAGGAGAAGGAGTCCGTTGCATTGCCCGCCAAGGGTTAAACAACAATCGAGGTCACACCTGAATTTCCCCCTCCCGCGTGGAGGTGGAGGAAGATGAGACGGCGGAGGAGGGTGTGAAAGATAATGAGAAGCAGGAGGAAGAGGAGGAAGAAATGGAGGAGGAGGAGGAGGAAGACGGGAACAGAAAGGAGGAGGAGGAGGAAGGGAGGGGGACCAGAGTAAACCCGTGTAGCATCAACGATGCTGCAACACATCGTGCAGTTGTGTTGAATTCCAATACCCGCGCCGTACAATGTGTGTGAGTCGCGGGCGGCAGCCCGATTTTGAGAGCTGCGCTCCACCAGTGCACCTGTTGCAAACGTTTGAGACGAATGCGTGCTGCGCTGAGGCGAGAGCCACACCTTGAAAGCGAACTGTGATCCACATGGGGCGTACCAGAGAGGGCCTCGCCGTCGGAAGTTCGATGACTTGGCACATCCTCCCTGGCGGAAATCGAGAAGCTGCTGGTCCGCCAGAGGAAGGTAAGGCGAGACGCCAGTATCGTTGTGCTCTAGGTTTGTGGAGTTGGCCATATGGGCAAATGCTTCAGAGTTTGATCGAGGAAGTCTCAGGCAAACCGACAAGTCCGACCGATCGACACACCTGGTCACATGGTGGGCTGGAGTAATTTGTATAGGGAAAGTAGGGCAAGGGAAAGGAGAAAGATAAGAAGGTGGAGGGGCAGAGGACGTGGGAGGGGAGAGAGAGGGCGGGGGGTTGGCCTCCCTCATCCGGCGTCATGATTTTTCCAAACCATCATGTGGTGTTGGGTCCTCGTTCTGAAGAGACATCGCCCCGCGTCCTTTTCTCCTTCCTCCTCCCCCTCCTCCCTCTTCCCATCCCTGCTTCTGCCCTGCAAATGCCATCATCCCAACACCATGAAGCGCACCCGCACCTGATTCGGCACTTCCCTCACTCAAATCCGACGTCGTGATTTTTGTCACCGTTTCGACCCCCGTCGCCCCAGAGAGGTCTCGACACCTTCCCAAAGACCAGTTCTTATTACCAAGTCGTTTTTTCTACAATTCCAGTAGACGCGCTAAAGGTGTGCTAGCTAACGGTGAAGTCGGAAATCCAATTGTAGGAAGGCGTGGTTCGTGGATGAACCAATTGTAGGAACGCGTGGTGCGTGTTTTCCTACAACTCGCTGTGTCGCCTTCATTCGATACATTCGCATATTTGGCATCTAGAAAACGGTGTTTCGTGTGAAGTCCTGCACTTCGTTTTGCGTGAGTTCGGTGTCACAGAAACAAGATTCCCAACCGCACCGTTGACCAAGCACGCCGTCAGCGCGGCCTTGGAGCTCCGGGGGACTGTGACGGCCCCCAGGAGCAGAGAAAGTAGCCCAAAATTTGCCGTCGCGGCTCCCTTCTCCACGCGAGGAGGCCTGGATCCTGACCCCCGCAGGCAGCCTGGAGGCCCCCCGAGGCCTCCAGAGGCACGACGGGGGCCAGAAACATTTGAGGCACCTCTCCCCTCGTCCCCAAAAACGTAGAAGAAAAATAGCACACAAACATAAACTTTTTTGGCGCTCCGCGCGGATTTCTTGGATCCGCGCCCGACGGGCACCTCCGGCGCCGCCCTTGGCGCGCTGCGCGCGCCAGGGAGGGGAGGGGGCCCAGCGCGGATCCAAGAGGTCCGCGCGGAGCGCCACAAGTTTATGCTTCTGTGTTTTTTTCTTGCTTCTTCTGAAAAGCTCCCCCCTCGACCCTCGAGATGCTCGGGGGCAAGACTTGGCACCTCCGCGCGCAGTGCCCCCGGAGGTCAAGAAGGGCGACATCGCCTTCGGGCCGCGCACGGCTGCCTGCGAGATGAGGGCCGCCTCGGCGCCCGGCGAGGCCGTCAAGTACCGGACGGACCGGCCGTTCGGCTTCGTGCTGGACATTGCCCCGGAGGCCTCGCCGCCGCCGCCGCCGCCGCCGCCGCCGTCGTCGTCGTCGTCGTCGAGGACGACGGTGTTCCAGGCCTCCCGAACCGGGCCCGAGCAGACGGGGCTGGGGGATCGCGCCGAATCGCCGATGCACCGGCGATGCGGCTCGATGTGGAGCCCGATTTTCTCCACGCCGACGTCGCAGATACAGTTGATGGACAAAATCCTGCACCTTTTTTATTTTTTGTTGTCGCCCCCCGCGCCCCCAATTTAACATTGGCAGGCTGTGGCGCGATTTGTCGATCTGCCCACTGGCCCAAATCCTGCACCGCGCGGGCGCAGGCGATCAACATTGAATCGGGGGCAGAGGGGCGCGTGGAAGCTTGCGCCGTCGCCCCGGTTGCGCGGCTGGTGCAGGATTTTGTCCATCAACCGTCGATTCCCCAGAAAATATGGGAAAATGTGGGAGCAGTAGGGGGGAAGACGGAAACTCAGCAAATATGGGACAAATATGGGTATCCTGGGATTTGTGTGTATTTCTTTGCGTGTCCCTGAGCCCCCTCATCTCTCCACGCCGACGTCGCAGATACATCGCCGGCGTCGCGGACGCATCGCCGATGCAGCCGCGAGTCCTCGCCCTGGACACTGCCCTGGAGCCCCCTCGCCTCGTCGCCGCCGCCGCCTCGAGGAGAGGAACCCCCTCCAACCTCTCGGGAGGGGAGAAAAAAAGACAGACACAAGGAATCGTCGATCCCCAGGACTATAGGGGAAGACATGGGAAGTGGGGGAGAAGACGAAACCCCAGAAAATGTGGGGAAATCTGGGGGGTCCTGGGATTTGTGTCTGTTTAGTTGTGTGTCCCTGGGCCCCTTGAACCTCCAATCGTCTTGAAGGTCACGACGGCAGGTTTTTGCTCTTCTTCGGCCTCCAGGGGGGCCCTCGCCAGGCCTCGGGGCCGTCATCTCTGAGATTCGCCATGTGTCGGCCGAATGTTCCATTCATCAGGGGTTGTGGATAGGCGGCGACGGTTCCGAGAGGCCTTGCGAGGGTCCTCAGCTTGGCCTCGAATGCCCCCAGGGCCCCAGAGACCGTCCAGCGGATCCAGCCTCGGCCCCAGTAGACCCTTAGATGGCCCGAAAATGTCTCGAGACATCAGACAACCTGACTTCACACTTGCTCAAAGAACCCAAGAAGAAATCCTAGCAGTTTCCAACGTGCCACCCAGCGGGCCACTTGAGAGTCATCGCAGGTCCCTCAGCTGGCCCAAGCCAGACAGAGACCCAAGGAATCAGATTCCATCGTGTATCATGTTCTTGAGAAACGGCCCCACGACTCCACGAGAGCCCCATGAGGGCCTCTAGTTCCTCCGTCCCTTCTTTTACTCCCTCCCTTATTGATTGTGTGTTTTCGGTTTGTCCTGCCACCTTCTCTCTCCTTCGTCCTTGCTTGTCCATCCTGCCTTCCTTCTCCCCTTCCCTCTGTTTATCCTTCCGCTGTCCCCCAGCTTGACTTTTCTCTCATCCTTGCTGCGGCCCGTATTCTCGTTTCGCCCTCCTTCCCTCCTCGTTCCCCCCTTCCCTCTGCAGTCCTTCCTCTGTGCAAGGGACCTGGTGGCACTTACGACCTTCAGCCCAGGTTCCAAGGGCTCTCTCGTCGGGCTCCTAATCCCCACGCTATCCGAACTCCACGTTCCCTGGGTTGTCAGGTTCGTCGGAATTGCATTCGATCGCAGTGCGCACAGTCTTGCATTGCATGTGTATTCCTTGTTGATGTTTTGCATCGTATTCCTTCACATTGTTCTGCTTTGTCTGGATGTGCATTGCATTGCTTGTTCCTGCAGTTGCTTTGCTAATTGTTCCTTGTGTTGGTTTGCGCTCCTTTGCGTTACTATGAGTTGTCGTGACATCCGTTTGACATCGTAATGTTTCTCGCATTTCACTGCCACTGCCCAACGTTCAATTCATTATCGCCCCTTCGCACGGCTCTGCATTGCGTCGCAGCGAAGATGCCTGGGCGTACATCTGACGATATTACTCGGCCCGCTTCAGTGATATGTCTTTAACGCATGGCCATTTCATGTTGGGGTGTGTGCGTACATGCGTGCAGTTATGAAGTTGGTATTTGCGAGTGACTGCTGGAACCTAAGCTCGCGAAGCGCGCGCGGTTCTAGTGCACAGATGCATGTGTATAGTCTTATATGTACACTGCGTATGTATGTATGTATATGTGTATGTATACATGCTCAGAGATTCGGTGTGTGCGTGTATCTCTTTCTCTCTCTCTCTCTCTTTCCTCTCTCTCTCTCTTTCTCTCTCTCTCTCTTTCTCTCTCTATCTCTATCTCTCTCTCTCTCTGTTCTTCCCTCCCTACACCCAGCTATGGCCTATGCTCACGTATATGTATTACTTGCACGAAATACATCCACCTCTCATCATCATATCGAACAGTGGTCGCACATTATCTCCCTTTCTCTGTCTCTCTTTCTTTCAAATCCCTTTGGTGACCTTTGCTCGCAACCGTCTCGCCCCAGTATTCTTTACGATCAAAGATCCAGGCGCTTGGCCACAACCAAAATCTCCGGAACCCCAGAACTTCACGCTGCCAAAAATTCAGAAATGGGAATCAGGAAGCGGGAAACCCACTAGGTCTTACACTGCCGCGGGGGCCCCGGAATCGGGAAGTGGGAACCTGGGAGCCCAGCCGCCCACCGAACCGGGAGCCCCAGAACCACGCAGGCATTACGCTGCCGGGAGCCCCGAAATCGGGTACCCGGAAACCCCGACCTTCAAAAAATTGCCGGGAAGACCAGAGCACAGAGCAGGGAATTTGGGAGCGCGGCCGCCCACCGAGATCGGCCCAGAACCCAGAATTGAGTCGGGCTTGTCCCTCTACAGGAGGAATATTGCGAAGGCCTTACGGCCGATGCCGCCGACCCTGTAGGCAGCGACGACGAAGACAATGGAGGTAGAGGAGTCCAAGATGCCCTCAGATGGCTCGAAGACGGCGCCAGATGCCTGCAAGGTCGCCCGAAGACAGCTCAAGAGGCCTCCTCCAGGGTTCGGAAACGGCTCCAGAGAGTGCCAAGATAGGCAAAGATCGCCCTCAAGTGGCCCGAGAGGGTTCCAAGACGGCGTCAAGCGAGGTCCAAAAGCGCCCGCAGAGGCTGTCAAGAGTGCCGCCAGAGGCTGCCAAGAGAGACTAAAAATTGCGAAAGGTCTCCAAGGAGCCTTAAGATAGGCTGAAAGGGCCCGCAAACGGCCCCAGAGGGCCAACGGAGCCCCAGGACGCAGGAGCATGAGAGGCGGGGGGCTGCGTATCCGAGAGGGGGCCACCCCCCGGGACTTGCCCAGGGACCCCCCCCCCCTCCCCGGAGGGAAAGAGATCAAGGGAAGGGGCTTCATTTCGACTGAAGGACGACGTTGTTTAATTTTTGTGTGGACTTGTGTAGGGAGCCCTCGGAAAGCAGAAGAGGCGACGACGCTCTGGGGAAGACGGAAAAGCCTCTCCCACACGCCGACAGGGTCGGCGGAATCAAAAATATTCAAAACATAATATGGGGACAATGTTTGAGTATTTTATGTTGTGGACCATCTTTTTCCTCGTCCAAAACCCGCCTGTAGGAGGGCACGCCCGACCTAAACCCACAACCGGGAAGCCCAGAACCCAGGAGCGCCTATCGAAATCGGCCCGGGATTTTCGCCTAATCTTTCAGAATCCGCGAGGGCCTTTCCTCGAAGAAGACGAAACGCCATAGACATAAACTTTTGGCGCTCCGCGCGGATTTCTTGGATCCGCGCTGGGCGCCCCCGGCGGCGCCTCTGGCGCCACCCTTGGCGCGCTCCGCGCGCCAGGGAGGGGGGTCCAGCGCACATCCAAGAAATCCGGGCGGAGCGCCAAAAGTTAATGTTTATAGCATTTGTTTCGTCTTCTGTTTCCAGTGCAAGCACTGACCGGGAAACAACAAGTAATGATTCTTTAGGCGAAGCCTTATTGTGGAATAAGCTGTCTTCCAGCCGTGCAAGAACTGTTTAGGGACTGCATGTTTTTTGGTTCCAAGCCGTACAAGGTCTTTGGCACGAGCTTGAGCTTGAAAAGGAAGCACCCCCTACCTTGCTGCTGTAAATTATTAAGAGCTTGAGGATCGCCACTTGTCAGGCAAACCCATGGGCTTGCCACATGTTGAAAAGGTGCCACCTGTTGACAAGGCGCCCGCGCTCCACCGATATACATGTTAGAAATATGACGGTTGGGAATGCAACATTTCGTGTCACATTGCAAACAGACGAAAGTCACATGCTTTTAAGAAATTGCCATCCGTCCGTGCCGTTGCTGGGCTGGCCAAGCTTGTAAGGGTCTCGATCATGAAGACGACCTAAGTGGAAGCGCAACTTGAAAACTAATCGCTCTCCATCCGCGCAACTGCTGGAAGATGCGCTGACGGCTGCGCGCGGCGACATGGCTTAGTCAACGTTTTGAAGAGCGAATCGCCCTCCGCCAGTGCAATTGGTGGAAATATAAGATGGCGATGCGCGGCGCGAAGACGAGACCCGCATCTTCAAAACGGCTTGCATCTTCTGGGGATATCGAAATGCATGGCTATAAAGAGAGGCGAAGTGCCGAGCGAAGCGACTATATTGCAACGAGGGGGAGAACATGTAGGAGGAAAACAAGGAGGGGAAGGAGGCAGAGGAGGAGGAGGAGGAGGAGGAGGAGGAGGAGGAGGAGGAGAGGAGGAGAGGAAGGAAGACGGGGGAGGAGGGAAGAGGAGGAGGGGGACGAGGATGAGGAGGAGGAGGGGAGGAGGAGGAGGAGGAGGAGGAGGAGGAGGAGGGCGGAGAGAAGGAGGAGGGAGGAGGAGGGAGGAGGAGGGAGAAGAAAGTGGAGAGGGAGGGCGAGGGGAGGTGGAATTGCGAACGGGGAGGGTGGAGATGAAGGGGGAGGAGGAGGAGGAAGAGGAGGAGGAGGAGGAGGAGGAGGAGGAGGAGGAGGGAGGAGCAGGAACAGGAAGAGCAGGAGGAGGGGAGG